CTCAAGCAGCCGTTCGAATGGTTCTTACATCTGTGTTGCTATATAAATGCTGCTGGCTAGTAGTAWAAAAATGCCGATTCTAAAACGAAAGATTTTGAGGAGCTATGACGTCATATTTATTTTTAGAAACCTATGGTTATGACATATCTATTTTAGAAAGTATCTCTTTGAGATGGTGACGTCATATTAATGTCTAAATTTAGAAAATGCTAGTGACAGTTTCACTATATATATAACTCATTTAAGTCTTAGAATCAAACTATTAAATGAGAAGAACAAACCTTCAAGATGTCAACAAGCCAACCAACTAATGAAGACTTTGTGTCAAACTTGGCGAGCGTGCCTACTATGCAAAAGGGAGCAGATTCAATGACCGAGTTTGACTCCACATCAGAAAGTACGAGCCGACAGAGCGGAAAAACGACTACGCATGCGCGGCTCTAGCTAAATCCAAGATGGCGGCCGTTAAACTGCTGAAAAGTGCTCTATGGAAAAATTGCTTTTAAACCGCCAAAAATGTTTTGTCTGTGGTCGAGAATCCTCCTGGAAGCTTCTTAGACATTTATCTTTCGGAGTGAGTAGTCTTTTCGAAGACATTTTATCGACATCGCCAAAAATATCGCGTTCTATTTCGGTGTTTTGATCGCATTCTTCCCTGTCTGCCGATCCGTTGACAACACATCGAAAATCGTCTTTTTTAAGGAGCTGTTTAAGTTTATAAGCTTCATTTTTTACCAAAAGAAACTTAGATATATGCTCTACAATATATCAAAAATGATTTTTAAATCTCGAATATGAATTTTCACAATTTACATTTGAACTCGACAATGCACTTGGGTTCGCTTCAGATATACTTACTGTTCGACCACGTTCTTCTGCTACTTTTCGATGGAATCGATTTTTTAGGGATATCTTGAACTCGGCGGATGAATAAAACGATGAACTCTTTGGAGTGCTTGGCATATCGTCTTCGTCATTATCATCATCAGGATCCTCATTGTCACTATCATCAAGGTTGTCGTCGTTCTTTTCTAGAAGCCCAGTATTGAAAGTAGTAGAAACTGTGGAGATTTTAGACAATAGGTTTGAAAGGTCTTTTGATCAGCAATGAGCATAGTAATTTTAAAATATTTTAAAATTACAATAGGTTTGGCAAACACACTGGACAACTTCCATCAGGCATGCAGTGGATATGAAAGGAGTGACCACAAGTTAACAGTCGACAATAGTCATGGTCTTAGACTACACAATTGTTTGCATCACAAAGCTTTTCAGGATCTGGTTGATCCTTATCCCAGGCATAGCCAAGGGGAAGACTCATCTGGTCAACAGTAGCATCAATTGTAGGTAAGTAGTATGGCTATGTGCAAAGAAATGATTTAAAAATAATATTATAATAATATCATCCAAAATTATTTGACTTTATTTAAAATGTACCTGAAACTTCTTTCTCCCTTTTGGCAAAACAACAGTTTTCTCTGTACTATTCCATACATTACCAAAGAGATCTATTAAAAATTCTGCASCTAAACCACATAGAATGGAGTAGTCTTGGTGTCCTTGCCCTCTCTTGTATTCTGGTGCAAACCACTGCTCAAAGCCATTGTTGAATCTTAAAGTATTCAGTAGGTGGGCAGCATTTTTTATCTGCTCTGCAGTGTACCATGGTTGAATTTCACTGTTTATAAAGTATAATATGTTATACAAACATGTTTACATGTAAGTTGAAAACAGTGGAATACAAGTATTATTGTTACTGATTGCATTTTTCTGCCTCTTTCAAAAATATTTTAATATATATATTATTGTCTTATAATGTGATTCATTTCTTAAAAGATATAATAGTGATAATTCACAATAATGATTGAAT